CAGAAGGGCCGCTGAGGATGATGGGAGAAAAATGGCGCTGCCCTTACTCAGGATATGTAACAGGCCCGTTTCTGTCCTGGTTCGCAATTTTACATCGAAGTCATCTTTATTGAATCACTCCAGACGGCTCGCACCAGCGGCGTCTGTTGTGTGTGATGTCCGTCGCTACAGCTCTGAGCCAGAGAGACGCAAGCGGAACCCAAGGGTTGTGGTGTTTGGGATACCCAACCCCATTATCTGGTTCCGAAACCGCATCTACTTCTTTCTTATTCGAGCTTACTTTGACAAAGAGTTTAGCATCGAGGAGTTCATGGAAGGAGCCATACAGGTGAGCCAGAAAAGACCTAGTCTGGTTGAAGCTAGACATGAAGAGCTCAGATGCAAACACCTTTTTAAGTGCCATGTGAACATTTTTTTCAGAAATTAGCATTTTCTCAGCCTCCTATGTTTATGTTCAGTTATTTCACTTTTAAGACAGCGAAAATAACTTATTGTTTGTCATAAAAATGAAATGACTGAACACATCGAAGAAAAACGCTAAGAAAAGTACATTCCGGATGGCAATGATTGGTTTTTGCATCTGAACCCTTCAAATTGTCCGACATGACAGTGCTTGTTCTATGATGGCTTTAGATGCAAATTGATTTTATTTTTATATTTTTATGTATTTTTGTGAGAGAACATTTAACATTAGTTAAATGGGTCTAATTTTAAGTCTGTAAACTAAATAAAACATAAGGAAAAAGGAAGTAGTAGTTCTAGGATTATAAACATAATTTTATTCACCTACCTATTTTTTTTCTTTTTGCTTCAGTTTAACATTTATTTTGATCTGAGATTGTGGCCTTCTATTTACAAATTCTCTCACACACAAACAAACAAACAGCATCTGCTCATGTCAGTTTGCTCTTTTATATGCATGATTGTGATATTAGTCCAATCTGCTGTGGACATGACTGTTGTGGATTAAAGGTCTTAATGTTGCAAATAATGTACATTTTCTGGCTCATACCAATCATTTTGCTTCATAAGACCTCGATGTAAAATCAAGAGCCAGTATTATTTTAGCTTTGCCCATATATGAGCCTATGCCAGTATTCAAATAAAAATTACATTACATATTAAAGTTCCAAAAAAATAAGAATAGCAATAAAAAACATACAATCCATAACATCTAACACAGTTAATAACAATTTACAAAATACAGCAAAAACAATTCTCAGTACCTGTAATACCAGTAGCTTTTGACAGTAATTTTATTGATCACCAAAGGCCAAAGTTTCAGCTATAAAATCTTTATTGTTCTGCTGAAGAAAAAAAAATCAAGCATCTTGGGTGGCCTAAGGGTCAGAAGGTAAGAGAAAATTCCCATTTTATGTGAATGATTCATTTTTAATCTCATTTTATGCAGGCTTTCTCGCACGTTTCAAGATTGCTCTCTCAGTGTCAGTTTGAAGCTCTTGAAGGATTAGTAGCTAAAGATGTAAGTACATGAAAATACTGAACATATGTTAATATCAGGGTTATTTGAGATTAAAGTGAGTCATTAATTCGACATTCTTCTACAAAGCTAATAAAGAAACTCGAGGGAAAATGCGCTCATTTGCCTTTGAGCCACCAGAGGGCGCTGTCCGCGGAGCCGGACGATATCATGTACATGACAGCAGGAGACGTGGGCATTTACTACGATGATAGCGGTGAGACCACGCAGTATTCATACTACGCAATATTCGCCCAGGTAATATATTTAACAGTAGTAATAATGCATATATGTGGGCGTTTAAATGAATACTTTTAACTCAAATGGTTCGTGTGACAGCCGGGTAATTCCTTTTTTTAAACAAAACAAAAATACTATTTTTTTTTTATCTTTCAGAGAGGAAATTTGTGAGTATTTTGATGCGCTTTTGGTACTTGACTAGTGCCAAATTTCCTGACGAAAGTGTGGATGGAGCGAAAGTTTTCCAGGTTGCAATTGGTGATGAGAGAGAAAAGCAAACCGAGACCAAGAGACTGCTTACAGCCAATTATGAGTTAGTATTCTGTGATCTCTCTTTTTTTTATTGTGTCTGAGTTTAGTTCTGATTTTATTTTAGTTTAACTTGCTTATTAATGATTATGAATAAAATAGTCTTCAAACACCGTTTAGTTCATGTCCATAAATATCACTGTATGTTATAATTGCAGTAAACCTCAGTATAGTATTCATGTCTGTCTTTCTTTCTTTCTTTCTTTTAGGTTCCAAAGGGAGTTTACTGAAGGTGTGACTCCAGATTGGATCATCACAAGAATAGAGCACTCAAAACTTATTGACTAAGCATATTTAATTCTCAGAGAAATTTTGTAGGTTTTTTTTTTCTTGTATTTTTTTCAACATGTCAAAGTACAGGCATGATTCTCTAACTCTTGCTGGAAATATAATGCTGGGGTATTGTCATCTCTGTATGTTCTTTATGGGAAACAGAAGGTTATAAATGGTGCTTCAGTGTATCACGACTTGTTCATTGCAGAATATTAGGTCTTGTCATTTTTGTAAGTTTCATTGATTTAGCTTTTTAACAAGGACTTCTCAAAATGATTTTAGAACATTTTGGGTAATGCATATGGACTTACAGAATCCACCCATGAATGATATTTACTGTGTAATGCAATATTTTGCCGTTTTCTTGACCAATAAATCAAAAACAGAACTGCAAACTTGATCATATGGTACTCTGGAAATTATAAGTGTAAGTAAAAAGCTGCAAAGTGTTTAAGCAAATACAGCCTGTGTACATTTCCAGAGCTGCTCTGAGGGCCACAGAAACTCTTGTATTTGTTGTAAGTATGAGTTGTATTCATGTCAACCTACGTTTATTTAAACTTTAAAAACACTGTGACTGAAATAAGTGCTTCTCAAGAAAAAAAAAACACATTAAAAATGCATCAAACTGCAGTTGGGAAAGAAATCATGCTGGGCATCTAGAGACATGCACTGGGTCACGTGTTTCACGTTTTAGATGAAAATTAAAACGATCGATCTACAGTGAGCTGCATTCAAAGAAAATCTAAATATGATGCCGCAGGCTAGTTTATTTTGCTGATTTGTTTGACCGCAACTCAAAATGGTTTCATGGTTTGTATCATGGCCCTCACGTAATGGGTTTGTATGCATGCCTGACATTATATAATGTAAGGGTATGCTGACAGTGTGTTTTGGGGTATTTCCTCTAACACCAAAACAATGTCCTTGAGATGTTACAATATATTTAATTCAGGCGAGTAGGGGGCATATCAATTCCTTCCTTCTTAAGGTACTGCCTGTATAGTTTAAACTCTCGCCACTCTCACATGTATGTCATTCAAGAGGAGGAACTCTGCAGGAGCACTGCACCAATATAGACTCCATGGATCCAAGGAAATCATCTTTGGCAGACAGGGTGCCATCACAGACCCACAGCTAAATAGGTCACGCTAATCAGTGTTAAAGGCAGCCTAATATTCTCATCAGCTTCTACAGACCCTCTCATGTCTGCCACACATGCTCAGGATAAACCTGCTCTCATATATGAAAGGCACAGGGCACCAGTGACGGAATTGCCAATTCCAATGTTCAATGGCAAATGCCAATCAAAGTCCATTGTGTCAGCAAGTGTCTTAGAGGATGTCTGGCCCTCAGGCCGTCCTCAGAAAGTCTCCATTTATTGTCTTTTCAAAGACGGTAATAAAGCCTGCTGGAGGTCATTTTGTATAGGGCTCAATGCAGCAATGCTCATCCTCTTCTTCATTGCACAAAGAGATGAAAACATGCATTTTTACGGCTTCTACATGTAATCATGTGCCTTCCTTGAAGAGCTGGACTATTAAAAGTTTACACTTTTTCATGGATGTTTTAATTTTAGCCTGTTTATGCTTTAAATGGAAATGTTAACAATATTTAATAAAATATCCAGATTTAAAAGTATACCATTAAAATAATCTGGTGGAGTATAATATAAGCTAATATAATATAAATTAACAGTGGAATTTAAAGCCAAATATTATTTTACTATCAGTATTGTTGAGTGTTATTTAGAGATGAAAGCAGACTGCAGAAAGAAATACTGCAAATGTATTGTGTAATTGGGTTATATGGACCTGTAGTCAGCCGAGCAAAAGGGGTGTTTTTTTTTCTTAAAAAGTGGACCTTTTTGCAGTTACTAGCCTCAAATTATTAGTTTCAAATACGGTAAGTGACGTTTTAAGCGCTAATTTGTGCTGGAATAGCTTCTTGGATGGTTATCATGACCACACGTTTTGGTGCAACAAAAACACTTTCTACATTTTTGTCAAAGTGCTTATCATACTAGTTTTTGTTCAAAAAATATATGTATATTAACAAATGTTCATTTAAACAGTAAGTTATTACAGTTTTATATATACTGTAATAAGATTAGTATTTTAGAAATATGAAAAAACTTATATTTAAATGCTAATTTATTATCATCCATCATAAAAAACAGAAAAAAATGGAAATCTGTTAAAGCTTGAAAAACTATACGTAGCCTTTGGGGTTTAGGCAAATGACAAACTGGCTAGCTCATTTCCTCAGTCAGAATTTTGTCCATTTAAATTTTATTGGTTATTTTATTAGTTAATCTTCTTAAAGCCTTATTCTATTGGTTATTTTCACAATTTATTATGGGATACTGTCAAAAATAAGACCAATGAGCTCATATAGGACCCAAATCTGGAATTTATCAGAAGGTGGGTGGGTCCTTTGAACCACCCGAACCCCCTCTGGCTACGAGCCTGTTATACATACACTTTCACCTCCCTTCACTTTAAACTGAAGGTGACGTAATGGTCTTTATTTTTTGCCAATTTTTTTTTTGCGTTTAGGTAGAAGGTAGTAAATGCACGATGATCCCACTGTTTTCATTTCGTTTTCCCCTCCCACTGACAATTTTAATTGGTCAAATCACAAACCTGTCTTCCCTCTCCATAGGCTCATTCCTCTGTCTGCGTCGTGACGTCAGCCCAGAAGCTGGCTGCGTGAGCGTGACAGGTCCATACGAGGTTCCTGAAGGTTTGAACAGGCAGTGAGTGTTGGGTGTACAATAAGGAAAGCGGAGACACGATTAAAATGAATCTGTAAATAAAGTCAAGCTCAATTTCTGGAGACATGAGACTCGTTGTATACGCGTTTTTTGCCTTCGCTCTTGGGCTTCTGCTCGTGGGTTTGCGAGAATTATTATTTGGTTTTGAGGAGAACCGATGCAGCATGACATACATGTTCGAGTACCCAGAATATCGAGTGAGTATCAGCGCTAACAGTCTCCATCGCCGTTGTTTTCTTCTCACGTTTGGTTTGCGATTAACAAAATGCACATTGTTTTGTATTGGACACAATTCATTGGCAGGCCATGTATCAGTTCCTCATACCTGTCTATCTACCTGTTGTAATGGCAACAACAAACATTGGCAAGCCGCAAGCAGCATTAGTCTTTAAACAACATCTCTTCAATATACATCAACCCTCTTTTTGTCGATATTGACAGTAAATACAGAAAAAAGACTAATCATATTAAGTAGGAATTTGTATCTCTAAATGTAGTATATTTTGTTTAAATTTTTTATCTTTTAACTTTGTGTTTTTAGTCAATGCCATTGACTGTTCATCGTTAAATTCTGCACATTGTGCTTATATGTAAACTAATCCAACTGTTAGGGAAAAAGTATTTTAGAGTAGAAAAGTGATTAACTTTTAATTCTTCTCCTGTCATTTCTGATCCCGAAGATCAGTCAAGTGTGTTTTTCACAGTCTCATACTATCCAAAGAAGAAGAAAACAATATCCAGAACATCTGAAAGTCTTAAAGATGGCATAGTTTAAAACCTTCCTCACAACTGTGTCCGTCCATATGTTTGAAGATTTGCTGTTAAGAGAATCTTTTCCACAACTAGATTTGCTTGTTGTTTTCATTGTTTTCTGTGTGTGAATGTAAACACCTGTCTGTGTGTGCTTGTTTGCAGCGCGTGCAGCTCCCGAGGCGCGTTGCCCGCCAGTACCCATCATACGGCCTGTATCTGTATGGAGAGGGTGCTTATGCTCAGGAGACCAGAGGACTCAAGCTTACCGGAGCGCCTGTGCTCTTCTTGCCCGGGAATGCAGGCAGCTACAAGCAAGGTGAGATTCTGAGCACATTGTTTCTATCTTTTCCATCTTACACAAAGGACACAAAACCAGTTTGTGTGGTCAGTCTTGGCCTCCCATTGACTTGTTGTTGAAATGTTTAGATTTTTCAAAGAGATTTTATTGGAACCCTGAGATTTTGTTTTACTCTCTCTTGCAGCTCGTTCACTGGGTTCAGTGGCGTTGCGGAAGGCTGAGAACCTTGAGAGACAGATTCATTTGAACGTCTTCACTATTGACTTCAATGAGGAGCTGGTGGCCCTGTACGGGGGCAGTTTGCGTAGACAGACTCAATTTCTGCATGAAAGCATTAAAGCCATCCTGCGCCTTTACAAGGTCAGAGAGAAGCCTTGCCTTTTGTCCTTTTACTTTCTTCTTCCTACATTTTATTTCCTCAGTTTTTTTCCCTTTTTTGTTTACTTCTTGTTCTTTTCCATTTGCATATCTCCTTTTCTGGAATTATTCATCAGAAAAGTCACCTACAATACTGAATCAATATCGCACCAAAAATGTTTATAAGGCTGCCATACACTACTCAACGGTTGCTCTGACATTCACCCCAGTTTTCACTCTGGAGGAATCAGCGCTGCTCATCAACATTTTTGATCTTCAAAGTGCTATTTAAAGCTAATATCCAGTCTGATATCCAGTGATGTTTGATATTTTGCGCTGGATTTAGAAAATGGACTTCTTTGTATGTCATTCTGCTTTTAGCAACAAAGCAAGTGTTTCTGACTGATTTTTTTGTGCTGTATTTACATGAAAGTCTAGTAGTGTCTCATCTTCTGTGAATTAGGGTATGATGCCTAGTTTTTCCTCTGATCTATTTACAAAGTTGGCAAGTTTATAATGCTTGCTTTTTTAATGTACTCAGAAGTCATGTAGTGCATTTGAAGCTCACAACTATTGCTAGATTATCTACATTGAACAAATTGTGTTTTTACTGCATTCTTTTTGCTGCAGGACCGTCCAGACCCCCCCACAAGTGTAGTTCTGGTGGGTCATTCCATGGGTGGAGTGGTGGCAAGAGCTTTGTTCACACTGGCACGCTTTCACCCACGCCTGGTCAGCCTCATCATCACCCAGGCCTCGCCCCATCAGGCACCTGTCCTGTCTCTGGACCCCTACATTCTGGGTAGGAAGAAAACATACAGACACTCACTCACATATGCGAGTGAAGTTTGTTTTGGACGTTTTTACACTACTATTCAAAAGTTTGAGGTTAGCAAGATTAAGGTTGTTTGTTTAGTAAGGGCTTAATATATTTGATTAGAAGTGACAGTAGACGTCAGTTACAAAAGCAATTTTATTTCAAATAAAGAATTAATATTTAGCTGAAGTCAAAATTAAAATCTCTATATGAAGTCAAAATGTTTATTCTTTTTTCAAATATTTCAAAAGTAAAGTTTAGCAGACCAAGGAAATTTTCATAATTTTTCCTAAAATATTTTTCATTTTGGGGAAGTCTTAATTATTTTAGTTTGGCTGCAATAAAAGCAGATTTTAAATTCATTCATTCATTCATTCATTCATTCATTTTCTTTTTGGCTTAGTCACTTTATTCATCAGGGGTCGCCACAGCGGAAACCACCAACTTATCGAGCATATGTTTTACACAGCAGATGCCCTTCCAGCTACAACCCATCACTGGGAAACACTCACACATTCTCACATTTACACTACAGATACATACACTACAGCTAATTTAGTTTCCCGAATTCACTTACACAGCATGTCTTTGGACTGTGGGGGAAACCGGAGCACCCGGAGGAAACCCAGGCCAACACCAGAGAACATGCAAACTCCACCCAGAAATGTCAATTGACCCAGCCAGGGCTCGAACCAGCGACATTCTCGCTGATTATACTATATTAAGAATATAGTATAAATGTTATAATGTCCCTTAAGAAATTATATATAGATATATAGATATATATATATATATATATATATATATATATATATATTTTTTTTTTCTCTACAGAACAAGCCACTATTATCCATTAACATGCCTAGTAACATAATTAACCTTGTTAAAGGTTAATTAACTTTTAGCTGAATATTATTTTGAAAAAATAAGTAGAAAAGTATTATGTAATACCACCATTGAAAGACAGAAGAAATGACAATTAGAACATTAAAACTATTATGTTTTAACATATTTTTTAAAGAATAAAATCACAGCAGGGCTAATAATTTTGACTTCAACTGTATATTAACCAGCAGAGCTGCAAGTCAGCGTATTAGAACGAATTCTGAAGGATCATATGACACTGAAGACTTGATAAATGCAACATGAACAACTTATTATTCAAATAATTGTACAATTTTGATGTCAAAGGTCAACAGTGGCATGTTCAGAAGATGTAAATTAATCAAAGCTTACAACTGCATTGTTGTGTGTGTGGCAGAGTTTTACTCCACCGTCAGGCAGGGCTGGAACAAAAGAGCCGAGGACCTCCGTAATGTAACCGTTCTCTCAGTTGGTGGAGGTAACCTGGACTTTCAGGTGCTTTCTGGCTTGACAGCACTATCCTGCCCCATTGATGATCTCAACAAGATTTCAGTTGTGGTAGGCCTACAAGTCATCTCATTTTTCAGAGTTTTTTCCCCAGTAAATCTTTTGTTAAATATTTCAATCTGGAACATTTAAAGTAAACCTGATTTTTTAAAATGTAGTTTATTTTACAATATCCTCATGTCAGTGATCTGTAAATTGGTTTTAGGCGACTGCAGTTCCCCGAACCTGGCTTTCCACAGATCACATTTCCATTGTTTGGTATGTTTTTGTATGCCAAGATGCTTGTATGAAAGTGGGCCGTGCATCAAAAACATATGGCTGCTTCTTTTGCTTTTAAACTACAGAGATTCTTCATTTTTATCTTTGTACTTTCAAATCCTTTATGCCTAAAGGTGCAAGGAGCTGGTTCTGGCCACAGTTCGAGCATTCTTTGACCTCATAGAACCAGAAACTGGGCAGGTGTGTCTTGTCAGACCCGTAATACAGTGTTAGAGTATTTGTTTGTGTTTAATGTGCTTTTACTGACTCCTGTTTCTCCATAGTTCACAGAAAGTCCAGAGGAGCGACTGTCAGTGCTGAACTATCACTTCTTCAGACACCCTGTGCTGCCACCTGGAGAAGTGCAGGGTGCTTCTGTGACATTCTCAGGTCTCTGTTAGTAAGCACATGTATATTTACAAGCTCGTCTGTTTTCACACTACTGGATGATTATACTGTATCTGAATCCTCTCTTTCTGCTATTTTAATCTGAATCTGTTTCTCCATCCTCTCAGCTCCTCCTGAGGCATGGAAGGAGGTCAATACACTGCGTCTGTTCTACAGTGCCCCTAAGGTAACATATGTTTCATCAACTGAAGCGAAATTATGCCAGCACCATTCCTCTGAACATTGCATTTCTGTAAAACCGTCCTCCATCTCTTGACAGGAAGCTCAAGTTAAGTACTTTCTGTTTGGTCTCTCCAGTCGAAGGAAGGCCTACAGTCATTTCTACTGCCGCAGTAATAATATGGTGAGAAAAACCAACATCATCACACTTAAAAATAGTCTAGTTACATAATGTGTTAAGAGTTGGTTCATTGCTGAGCATTTGGAATCCTGCTTTTCTTACTTGTGTATATTGTACAAAAATACAGCTTTTTTACCAGTCAGATTCTCCCTAGTGGTTTAAGCTAACTGTGAATGTCCACATAGCAGTTTGGAAGAGCTGTACATGTTCATATTCAGTTTCATGTCTGTTCAACAGGAAATGACCAGCTGGCTGTATGGCTGTACACAGATGAGTGGCTCCATGTGGTGAGTAAAATTAAATACATTAACCCTTAATCAACCTATGGGGTCAAACTCTAAAAAACCCAAAAATCATTTTGTTTTACATTTGTTTGTCTAAAACAAATTTATTCCCATAATAAATCTGGCATGTTTTACAATTCTGCAATTGCCTGGGTTAAGGATGCTCAAAATAATAGATTAATTATTAACTGAAAGTGTGCGTTTGTAACCGATTAATGGTATCAGTTAAACGATTTAAAATATATATTTAATATATATTTTAAAGTTTGGCTGCATAAGCAGCTGATCATTGTGAATATGCATTTTTGCGTTGAGAGGGGCATCTTTTGAATGGTTTATTTACGGCTACAAGTGTTTTGCGCGCAGCTCATCCTAGAGCAGCAGTGTTTGTGTTGTCAAAATGGAGGGGAGACTAGAGCTGTATGACTTTACAAATCTTGATCACAATCACAATATTATTAAATACTACAATTGTAACAACAGACAGCAACACTCACGCACAATTAATACCCAGCTGATTCAGTTGTTTCCTAGTGACATAAAAAAGGCAGTGTGGCGCGTCTCACGTTTTTTGAACGGAATATGTCGTTTGTTGTGATCGGCCCCTAAATGTGTAAATGCAACTCATATTTGTTAACTTGCGGGATGGTAACGTGTAACCACACGTGCTCGCATACATATTTGCCAAAGAAGCAAAATGGAAGAAGAATATTGCTGTTTGATACAGACAAGTTGATGCCAAACCAGTTCTGATGCTGATAGCCTCCTGGATCTGCGTTATAAACACAACATATAGGCTTTGGCTTTCATTTTACAGTCTAGAAAGCATGTCTGCAAATTAATGCAATATATTTAAAAAACAAAACTGTTCACAAAAAGTCAACATATGTATATAAAAGTCCATCACACGCAGCTTGCGCACTTGAACCATAAGTAAGAGAGGAAAAAAGCACAGAAGCATAAAATCAGATGCTCAGGACATAATCTTTGAAATAATTATTTCTTTTAAAAATGTAAAAAGGTTTTGATATATAATAATAACAGCGGGCCATTATTTAAATGTATATTTTTTTCGTGGAGTGATCGATTTGAGGTAGCCTGCTATTTTTATTTGAAGAAAGACAAAAAACATATGATTGGAAAAAAAAAAAAACAGCCTATGACTGTTCTTAAAAAGAATCAGTCTGTGTTTTTGTTTTGTAACCTAAATTAGTAATTTAAGTGAAAAATTATTTTAGTGCAAGGCAGCAGGCCTATTTATTTTATTCATTTTATTTAGTTTATTCTGTTTTTCTATGCTGTTGGAAACACTGCAGGTGCGTGAAGATGCTTTGTTATGTTTTTTTATTAATAAGTTTGCATGTTAAAATAAATCAGTATTTTAAAATGCGATATTTAATGTGTCAGACACTAAATAGATACATAATTTTAAATTTAATATTAATCTGATCAGTTAACCTTTAATATTCGATTAACGAGCAGCGATTGTCGGTTATCTAAATTAACCGAAATGAGCATACCTAGCCTGGGTCTGAAAAACAAATGAAAATAGGAAAAAAATTCCATCTCTTGTACACACACACACACACACACACACACACACACACACGTGTACAGAGAACATTTTTATAGAAATTGGCAAAAAAAAACTACAAAACTGGAATAAATCTGAAAAATATTCATAAATAAATAATGGACTAATAGAAACGGTACAAAATCAACATGGATTGTGTGTGATGCTCAAACACATAGTCAGACACACACAAACATACAGACAGACACACACACGTATTGTCTGGGGCTTTTTTTTAGATTTTGGCAATTTGAAATTGGAATTTGTTTTGCAAAAGTGAACAATTTAAAAATATATCAGATTACAACAACAGAAATACAAAATTCTCTGTTTATTTATTCGTTTTATTTAATGTTAAAATGTATAACTAGTAAATGTAGAGTGTGTGTGTGCGCACGTGCATATAAATAAATATACAGCCCCACTGTTTATTTTTTCCCCGAATTTCTGTTTAACAGAAAGAAGATTTTTTTCAACACATTTCTAAACATAATAGTTTAAATACCTAATTTCTAATAACTGATTAATTTTATCTTTGTCATGATGACAGTAAGTAATATTTGACTAAATATTTTTCAAGACACTTCTATACAGCTTAAAGTTACATTTAAAGGCTTAACTGGGTTAATTAGGTTTAATAGGCAGGTTAGGTTAAAATGGTTTTTAAGAAAATAAAAACTGCTTTTATTCTAGCCGAAATAAAACGATTAAAACTTTCTCTAAAAGAAAAAATACTGTGAAAATTTCTTACACACACACGCACACAATTTTTTTTATAAAAAAAGAATGTAATTTTTCATAAGCCGAAGTAAATGGATAAAGTTATATTTAGTTTTTCATATAAAATGAACATTTCCTTATTCCCTTATGTAATTGATCTGCAAATTTTTTCCTGGGCCGCTCTTGGGTTTATACTATACTTTAAAATATAGTATTTAAAAAATGATCTATTTAAATTGTCTTTGATTGCCTGTCTCTTGCAAACTTGGCATGAAGTTTTAACAAGTCTAGTTCATCTCACACATGTAGATCAATATCGTCATTCGTGACTGTTGTTCTTTATGTGAGATTGTAAAGTTCTCTCTCCTTTCCTCCAATTTGCCAGTGTTCAAGCAGTAGATCTGTCATCTGACACAGAGCTTCTTCCAGCCTACAAAGTCAGTCTATTTTAAAACACTCTGTGTAACCTCTTATATTTCTGCATTTACAATAAGATTATAAATGAGCTCTTTTTTTATCTTGGTGTTTCTTTCTAGACTGTGGCCGTGAAAATCAGCAAACTCATGTCTGTCTCTCATCTCATCATTGATGCCTCTAACCCAAGCGGAGCACAGGTTCATTTACTATCTAATTTACTCTCATTTTTGATAATGAAAACATTACCTGACCTGCCATAGCAGCCCACATTCCTTTTTACAAATTGCATCAGATGATTCTTGTAAGGACAAACAATAGTAAGAGGAGCTCACTGTGCTTTCTGAATGCTGGATCATCTGATTGCAGTTTGTCGTGGAGTGTGAGCTGCAGAGAGAGGAGAGCTTGACTGTGTCAGTGCAGGTGCCTCATCTACTGTCTTTTGGTGAGTCCATATGTGTAAATGCAAGAATTTGCAAACATTTTACATTCACCATACTTCTTTACACTATTGTTATTATTATTATCTTCGGAGTATTTTCTATTTTATATGTGGCTTCACAGTAAATAGCTAGTGTTTAAAACCCAAACAATCCATCAAATTAAGCACATCAGTGTTTATCCTCATCTTACCTTATCACTGTATATTTTGGCAAGTTTTCATTTTTTTTGTCTTGGGCTTCTGAAAGTGAATCTGTTTTCACTTTTGGGTTTTAACAATGAAAAATAAACTTTAAGATTCTTTTGGGAGATTAAACACATCCATATTTCCACCTTTAAAGTGAGAGTTTATCCAAAAATGAAGCTTTTGCCATATACTCAACCACAGCTAATATTTAATGTTTGAACACTAAGATGCAGCAGATGCAGCTGTGAATGTTAGTGGCTAGCAAAACATTCTTCACAATATCAACTTTTGTATTCGTCTGAAGAAATAGACTAAAATGTTTGTAACCACTTGTTGTTTTGTCTAATAAATGACAGCTGTTACCTTGTTTAATTTTCTGAGTTTTTGACATAAATAAGCCTGTATGAATGTGCCTGTCCACAGGTCTGACCGTCACTGATGTCAGCATTAACTCATCTGGGCTGCTTCATACATTACAGCTGCAAGACTTTCATCAGGTGACAATTCACAGCAGTCTCTGCTGTTCTGCTCTCATTCTCTATTCGTTTCCACTTCTCCTCAGATCAGTTAGAATTCTTTTTATAATTTGTATCTTTTGATATGGTACAAATCCCGAAATACTCTGTAGGGTCATAGACTGTTTCTCAGTAAGCATTTTTCTTTGTAATTGTGTGTTTGTGTCCTAGCAAAACTGCATCAGCCATCACCAATTGCACCCTGATTAAGCAAAGACTTGTACTCAAAAGTGCAATAAATGTCAAGTAAAGTTTGTGTCTTTTTATTCCAGGTTTATCAGGCGTTCAGAATAACAATCATGAGTCACTGCAAAACCAATAAAGGTAACAGCGTCCTCTCTCAGGTATTCAGCATGATGATCTGTAAGGCTCACGTGTATGCTTTGTGTTTACAGACAGACTGCCCAGCGTCTACAGAGTGAGCGTACCTTGGTTTCGTGAAGACTCCTTTGCAATGTCAAGGTACAGTATTAACGGATTAAGTATATTCACTGTAATGTATCCACTTTTTTATTGCTTTAAATTATTTGTAATTTTCTTATTTCTGTTAAAAAGAAGATATTTGGAAGTAGGGCTGTGCAATTAATTGAATTGCAATCACAATTTGAAACATTGCAATTAGTTAATTGCAAGAGGCTGCGATATGAAATATATATAATTTAACTTCCCCAACTCTGAGCAAATGCATGACTTCCGTCTGTGTGTGACAGTCTTAATAGCCAATTGAGTGAGCACACTCAATCAGAATTGCGCCATCAAATCAGAATTGCGCAACCAAAGTTTGCGCATCGCCCCAATAAAACAAACAAACAGGAAAACGCGAATAAGTGGGATGATGGAGTTTCGAAGCATTAATAGACTAATTAATATCAAAGAAAAACAGCACGTTGGTAATATGGGAATATCCTGGTGTCAAAGACATAGACACCAAACAAAACCAGATCATTTGTAAGAGCTGTCGCAGAATTGTTGCCACAGCACCAGGAAATGCACCAGCACCTAAAAAAGCACCACAGGTTGCTATATGAGTAGGGTCTTGCTAAAAAAAGTAAAAAGAGTTAAAAGTATTGACAGTTACACTCAATCTATTAGCAAGCGAAGTACAATTTCAGAGTTGTTTGCTACTGTGTTGATATCTTTTTAGTTCCTTTTTTAACTAACACTCACTGCATTTTAGCAGTAAAAATTATTAAGCTGCAGACTACAATTTGAATTTTGACCACAAAATTAAATTGCAAATCAAATCGAAATTGCAAAATCTGTCAAAAAAAATTGCAATTAGATATTTTCCCCAAATCGCACAGCCCTATTTTTAAGAATGTTGGAAAGCAGTAGCCTTCAGCATCTAATGTAGGTAAAACAAACAGAATGTAAATTGATGGATACAGGTTTTCAACATTCTTCAAATTACCTGTTTTTGTTCACAAGAAAAAAGAAACAGATTTGAACAAGTGGAGGATGAGTAAATTATGACAATTTTCATTTTGTCTTAACTCTCTTTAATAAGCCAGCTGTCTCATTCTCTCCGCAGTCATTATTTATGCTAAAGTACTGATGAATATGTCTTTTTGTTTTTTGTTTTTCTCACTGAAGTACTCCTTCGGTCTCTGAGATCTTCAGCATGCTTCACAGCAGCCGACCAGACAACACATCCAGTGCCATGCTGCAGCTCCACACTGCCCCCAACTGCCAGTACAAGGTGTTTAATTCACAACTTCTGTTTCTTTATAGAAAACGGAAAGACAACTTAAATGATCTTTTTCTCTCTCTCTACAGGTGTCGATACGGACATCATTTCCTAAAGTGCTTGGGCAGGTGAGCTTACATTTGTGGTTTTTCATCTGTCATGCTTTTAAACTCATATTCAAATGGAGTTGTTGTTGTTCTCCAGATTCTGCGTTTCTGTGGTCCGCTTCTGCCCGTCTACTGTGCTTTAGCACTTCTCCTGATGATCAGAGTCCAGCTGAGCTCTGTCAGAAGATCAGGACGTCCTGTCGAATTGCAAGAGGCCATGAGTAAATCCTTAGAGATCCACAAACTGGAGCTGCCGGTCCTCTTGCTGATGCTGCTGCTCCGGTGAGTTCTGACATCAACATCTCAAAGGCCTAATAGTTTGCTGCAATTGCCAGTGTAAATATTCCTAAACATCAGTATTTTGTTTATCTAGCAATAGGACTGGATGTCCATTATTTAATTAAAGTGCTCAGCAAATATTTGTACACCCCTCACAAATATTTTAAATTCATAATTCATAATTTTTTAATAGAAAGCTATACAATATTATACTTAAGCATATACATTAGATTATTCGAAATTAAAGCCAAATCTGGAGCTTATCTAACAAAATAATTTACAATAACAGTCCAAAAACTTGTACAGCCAAATTTATGTTAAAAAAAGATTAAATACAATTTTAAAAATCAAGAAAAGCAAAAAAACTGAAAAAAATTGTTGAAATTTTGTTGGTTGTAAAACAACAACAAACAAAACAACAATATTTTACTTGAATTTAATTGTATTAGCTTTCAATTTCTAAATATGGTTGGTGGCTAAAATATTATTTAAATAATAAATCTGTTTAATAAATCTTTTATTTTGTTTAAATGCATCAAAATACATTGCCCATATTCACTGAGAAATGAATCAAAATATTCAGTTTCAAAATAGGGTGTACTCTATTATGCCGAGCACTAAAAGCATACAGTGCAATAGTATTAACAATAATACTATTAGTATTAGTATTGGTAGGTTTGGTAGTAGCAGCAGCAATAGTATTTCTAAAAATCAATATCAATAACCGTTATTATAATAAAGATTGTAATCTATAATATCAACTACATTACTATTGAACTGTAAAGTTCATTCATTCATTCATTTTCTTGTCGGCTTAGTCCCATTATTAATCCGGGGTTGCTACAGCAGAATGAACTGCCAACTTATCCAGCACATGTTTTGCACAGCAGATGCCCTACAAGACGCAACCCATCTCTGGGAAAAACTGTAAAGTATTTAATAATAATATTAAATCAAGTAATACTACTAAAAATTGGAATTATTTTTAAAATATTTCCATTTAGTAGACACTTTTGTCCAATATTTATAGATGTTCCATTAGTCAATGTATTCACTAACAAGAACTTGGAGTGAAAAATATTTGTACAGCATTTATTTTTTCATAGTTCAACATTTACTAATGTGTTATTGAAATCCAAAGTGGTGCTTGTTGACAATAGTTAATTCACTTTGAGTTAAGAACTGACAATCATCATTAACTTTACATTAACAAAGATGAACAATTACTGTAATAGATGTATTGTTCAGTGTTGGTGCGTCTTAGTAAGTAGATTAATATAACTTCATTGTAAAATGTTTATGTTCTCAAATATAGATTCTTATAGAATATATAAATATGGAATATAGATCCTTAATATTTATTTATTTTTTTCATTTGTAAAGATATTTGCGTATTACTCTACATCTTGTGTGTATTAAGCAGTGTGTAAGCGAGGCGTAACTCTGCGCTGGACTTTAGACTGGGTTTGTTTTGGTCTGTTGAAAAATCTATTATAGTTTTTCAAAATAGCAACGCGCCAGCAATGCGTCTCAGAACGCCTTCCTTTTTAGACCAGAACATCTATGGGTGCAACATATGAGCGCTAACAATTTGTTATTTACTGTAAACAGCGTAGCGCAACGCCTCAAAATGACTCTTGGGCCAAGCTGAAACTAGCAAAAAACTATTACATCGCGCCTTTCGCCACATTGCGCCGAGTGTATGATAGGGCCCTAAAATCGATGTGGAATTAGCATTGCTTGGATGTTCTGACCAGGCTCTAATTTGGCCTAAACATCAACAACTCTCCCTTATGTTTGGTTCGGTGTTGGCCAAGAGACTGATTCTGATGGAGTGGAAATCCACAAGAACTCCAAATTTTTTAAAATGGTTAGCTGAAATGGTTTCTGCCCTCTAGCTGGAAAGGCTACATTTCTCTAGATTTGGCAAACAGAAGTTGTATGACAAAATATGGGGCCCTACCTTAGATATTCTATTTCGTTTCTTATTCCATTAGTCTGGCTGAGATTTTTTAGTATTTTTGATGGTGCTGTATAATTGCTGTATTGTCTGCTAGTGTTTTGGTGTATGTTCTAGTTAGTATCAGGTAATAACACCTATATAATTTTGTTACATATATACATGATGTACACTAGGGTGTTAAGTTTTTATAAAAAACGTCAAAACAGTCGTTTGGTGCTTGGCTGTTCATTCTAGTCTTATTCTGAAAGTGTCTGTGTGCTGTATTAAAATGCTGAGTCTCTTTTGCAGCAAATCTTGACAGCCTTGTCAGACAACACAGCGCTAATTTTGACCATTTAAATAAATGTCTAATCGTTTAAATTGATTTTCTTTCTACCACAGGCAAAGCTGGTTTCAGGATGTCTGGACATCTTTGGGCCTCCCTGGGGTGGATGCACTTCCTCTAAACACGGTGGAGGACCTGTCCCATGAAAAAGCTTCTGTGCAGGAATGGCCTCGTCTCGTGTCTCCACTGCTGTGTGTGTTCGGTGCAGCCATTGCATTCTGGGGCAGCACAGTCCTCCGAATGTCTGTCTGCTTCCTGTCCTTTATTGTTGCTCCACTACACAGGTGAAAATCACATTAATAATAGCATTGTAGTTGGAGCTTTTTTACTTTTTATGGGAACATAAAATGTTTGATATATTATTTCATGCTATTTTACAGTTCTGTTAAAGTATATGTGCATAATATGTAATAACCTTAGTATGTAAACAGTTTAATAACTACGCACACCAGTTATTAGAACTCTTTTTAAAAGCATATTTTATTAGAATGTGAAATTTCAAAGACATTTAGAAAAGATTATTTTACACCAAGTACTTTGATGGATGTTTTTAAAAATGTATCACCAGAAAGAATTGAACATATTTATCAAGCATTTGACTGATCACATCTAATGTTTTTAATGTAATATTTTTAGTCATTTATATATTAATAATTTACTCTTATTAAAATATATAATGTTATTAAATTTGTTATTATTATGTAATGTTTTATTTATGTTGACCTTGCCATGAAATGGAAATAATTGCTGAAATGGTAATAAATAAATAATCAAACAACCAAGAATCCTTTTCAACAGTGTTTACAAATAGGGAACGATTCTAAGCACCAAACCCACATAAATGAATGATTTTTTTTTATTGACCATGTGACAATAAAGCCTTTTTCAAAACTTTTTTCTGATCTTTTGTTTGTTTTCAGACCTTCAGTGTCACGGGACTGTGGTACATTTGGTCTCCACACTCAGATTGTCCTGATGGTGTCTCTGGGAGTGCTGGGCAGCTTGACATGTGGATCTCTGGCATTGATGCTCTGTTGTCTCCTCCATCTCTACAGGGTGAGTGATATGATCTGTCCTAAATGTTTTTGTTAAATATATATATATATTTTGTTTAATTTAGCAGTTTTATTTTGCACACCTTGATGTTGTTATGATGCTATGTACATTTTCTTTTTAGACCACCAAAACAGAGTTAAAATAGAAATGTCCCATGCACACTAAGCCACACTAATCCACATAATAAAAACCAACATTAGGACATTTTTGTTAAAAATCTAACTATGTATAACAGAAAGGTCTTATCATGCATCACGTATATTCATATGTGTGTTTTTGGAATTCATGATGGGGCTTGGTGGGAAAAAAATACCAAGATGTTAAATAATATTTTAATAACAGGGCTCCAGGCTTAAGGACTTCTGTAGACACCAATGTGACTAAAATCTATTGTGGCTCCAACATCTGATTTGGTGGTACTGCACATGTAATACCAATAGTGTTCCAACATTTTTTTTTCTTCTTATGAAATACTTAAAAGTGAATCTGACAGAGAATTGCAAGAGCCTGGATGTTTATTTTTTTTCATCATTTTTAAATCATTTATAAATAGGTTGCTATATTGACATTCACTAGTTACATTCGGTGTTTCCTGCATGAGCTACTTTGTATTTTGGGATAATCTGTTGGCCAATTATTTTTTATAATAAAATGTTGAATTGCTTGGCATGTTAAGATAATGTAAACCCAAAGGGCAAGAAGAGGCATATTTATATTGCATCTTAAAACCTCTGTTATATGAGCCTTAGCTCTTTTCAATAAAATTCTTTCAAAAGTAAATATCAGATAATTTTAGAATACAGTAAAGCATCTGCTGAAGATTTTATGTCAAACAGAAATATGACTAAAAGAATATCAGATGTGTTATATAACCAATATTAAATGCAGGTGCTTTATTGCATTGTTGTGTTTGACACATGAAGACTGTTACGACGCATTGGCGCAGTAGGTAGTGCTATCGCCTCACAGCAAGAAGGTCACTGGTTCAAGCCTCGGCTGGGTCAGTTGGCGTTTCTGTGTGGAGTTTGCATGTTCTCCCTGCGTTCGTGTGGGTGTTCTCCGCGCGCTCCAGTTTCCCCCACAAGCCCAAAGACATGCGGTAGAGGTGAATTGGGTAGGCTAAATTGTCTATAGTGTATGAGTGTGTATGGATATTTCCCAGAGATGGGTTGCAGTTGTAAGGGCATCCGCTGTGTAAAAACATGTGCTGGATAAGTTTGCGGTTCATGTGGCGACCCTGGATTAATAAAGGCACTAAAGTGAAAGTGAATGAATGAATGACATGTAGACTGTAACAATGTATCTTACAACGAAACACAATGTGACTTTGCTCTCACTTCAAACATATCTTCACATGAAGTCCTTGTTTTCAAGGTTATTGGACTCGGAAAGTCTCTGGATTTTGCTTGAATTTGAAGTAACCATTGGTGTGAGAATCCTGCAGTATTATTACAGGGTTCATCTCTAAAAATGCACATGTAGCTGTAGCTTCAGTTGAGAGCAGCAGGACTTTACATGTGTTGTGGAAAAAAGATTCTGGTCTGCAAAAATATTCTAAGTCTCTAAGTCAAACTTTTCAAAAAATGACAAAGTCTGAGATCTCCGAAGTCTTTATAGACAATAGCATCTGCCATTTTTGGAGGGTGCAGATCACCAAAAATGCATGTAGCATGTCCTCAAGTTGCATCATTCACCTGTCCTGATCTTGTCTAATGCTCTGCCCTTCCTTTTCAGATCACAAAAGAATGTAAAAAAAAAGTCTCTTGCACTCATCCAGTCAAAAATTACCAACTTTTTAATATATACACTTAACTATGTCTTTCGACTTAGCTAAGGGCAGAGCTTTATAATCACAGTGTCTTCACATTGAATTTTTTTACAGCGTTGGTGTCTTGAATGTATTAAAGGAGGACATGCTACATGTGTTGGGGAATTCATTGTGTCTTGATGAATTTCTAATGAATGTATTACTCTCATTTATATGCTTATTTGAGTGATTTCAGTATTATCATCTATTATATTATAACCCATACCTATGGCATTATTTTCAGGTATGTGTGTTTTGGTACATAAAAAAGTCATTTTGTGTAAATGCAGTCAGAGATGAGAAGATAAATTAGAAGAGCAGAATTAATGTCACAATGAGGGCTGATTTATGGAAGCAAGGCTAAAAGGACACCTGCTTTCTGTTCTGTAACTCATGATAAAGTGCACCTGCAGGTGCGCCCACACTCACTTTTATTGACATCTAAAGAATTATGAGTACATATGAACTTCAGCTGAACTTACAGTTGACAGCTCAGTGGACAGTGAACAAGACATATTGTTGAGCATTGTTTTTTGGCTGAGTCATTGCTTTTGAAGCAGGAAGGAAAGACCTTAACTGGACATAGGTAAGACCCCTGAAAGACCCTGAGATTCTATTGGTGGCGGGCACTTGAGAGATATAAGATTCCATTAGCAGAGAAGCTGATGGAGGTGTGTAATGTGTAAATTTGAGTGGAGTATTAAGACACAGAAATGTATTTAAACTGTGTGAAAGCCTATGTTCAGGAGACACTCGAACGACCGGTCTCTGTTGTTACTGATGCTGTAACAATAAACTGCTTCGTCTAGTGTCTGCTAAAGCATTTCTATCTAAATGCACCTTTTTTAATTTGTGATTTTCCTTGTTCTTTTTCCAGGTGCTGAGATTACAGATGACAGAGAGATCACTGAGCCACATGTTGAACCTGGTATAAAAGTCTTTTTTGATCATTTATTGTTTTTTTAGCTGTAGTTGACTCAGTTTGTGTGTCCTGTCACTTCGGGATGTTTTGTTTCTGTTAAACCAGGCACCTCAGAAAGCTTCACACAACACGGAGAATGGTTTTAACGGCAATGATCATCACAGTAATGGCAAAGAGTGTAACGGCAGTGCTTTACTGTCAGAATCAGTACTTCAAGATGTCAGAGATGATCTGCAGCTCCACTTGAGTGTGTCCACAGTGCTGACTCTGACCATGATGCTCTGCGCCCCGTCCCTCATCCACTGGAAGCACAATCTCAGGTAACAGAGGCTTTTAAAATGCATATGGTTTTCCTAAAGAAGTAACGTCCTAGAAGAGGGCAGTTGTTGTCTATAAATGAAGAGGCAGACTGCAGTCAAAGTCCTTTAAGAGTGTTTGTATTTTGCTGTCTTGCACAGATATTGGCTTCATTTGGATCCGGACCCCTGCTGGCCTCACACTGTGCCCCTGCTCATCAGCTCTGTGATGCTCATCAACTGTAACACAAACTCACTCCTCCGCAGGTTTGTGTGCTTTTCCCTCTAAACAAGTCATGATCATTTCTATATTAAGGAGTGCCATGTCAAAACATTTGTGCTGTTGTTTTTTTAGACTTTAAATGATCACACATACAACGCCAGTTCTCTTTCATGTAAAATCAAGAATGTTTGAATTCTTCTTCTTAATTTTTATTGACAAAAATACAAACAAAATATTTCCAGTGTCCGCTGTTAAGACATCCCATGAAAAAACTCATCTTGATTGCAGTTTATGTCTCTGTACTATCCTCCCAATATATGCCTGCATATCTGAATTGTGACTGAGAAGTTAATGTCCAGACACTGAGATGCTCCTTTTATTCCCGAGCATGAAACCCTCGCATATTAATGGTTTACCTTTTTATTTGGCGACTTAGATGTTTTCATTTGGATATTTTATGATCTTTTTATTTGCCACTGCCCAACTTCCTTAGGAATGTTTTATAGCCTTCAAAGTTTAAATTTGTTTCTTTTTACATTCAAGTTTGTCAATGGCGTCTTGGTGGTCCAAGTCCAAAGACGTCGTATAGGTGAATTGAATAAGCTAAATTTGCTGTAGTCTATGTGTGGGAATGCAAGAGTGTTTGGGTGTTTCCCAGTGTTTAGAAGGGCATCTGCTGCGCAAAACATATGGCTGAATAAATTAGTGGTTCATACCGCTGTGGCAACCCCAAAGCAAGGGACTAACCACAAAAGAAATTGAATAAATTAATAAAGTTTGTTAGTGGTCATTTGTCAATTAAATTACATTAAAGACAAGTAAGAAATCACAGATTTTAGATTTCACAACATTTGGAAAAATCTCCCCCTATTTTCCGAATTGGAGTTGTAAATAGTGAAAATTTAAGGGTGCTTTCACACCTACACTTTTGTTTCGGAACGTGTCTCGACGTGTGCCGAATTAGCGCGGTTCGTTTGGTATATGTGAACAGGGCAATCGTGCTCTGTTCCGCGCCAAAGTAATCGCTCCAAGATCACTTGAATGAGGTGGTCTCGGCTCGATTGAAACGAACCCTGGAGCGGTTCGATTACAGTGAGAAAGCGATCCGATCCGAGCGCGGTTATATCACATTGTTTTGTGGATATGTAATAGGCATACGGCTATATGAAGAGAGAAATATGAGCATGGCGGGAAATTTCGCGAGTCTCCGGATGCCCGCAAACGAGTGATGATCTCCCGGTAACCTCGCGTCTCCCTCCCGGTCCTCAAATAGGCTACGTCGCGCACCCTTCTCACCCCTCCCCACCGCATCTCTCCTCAGACACATCGCGCGCGCACCCTGTCAATCACCATCAAACCACCACCTCTCTTGACAGCTTAGCGGGATACTGCAAAATAAACCCTGACACTCTGACCAATGTAAGGAGAGTTTACTCGCACGTGACTTGTTTTAGCTCTTTTGGTCCGATTAGAAACTTTGCAATGTGAAAGCGAACTGCTCCAAGAGCAAAGAGCAACAATGTAACATTTGTAATCTCTGTTTCGAAACAACTGAATTGATTCACAGGTGTGAAAGCACCAATAGTGTACTTTCAAATGTTTGTGTCTATAATTTATATTTTATATATGTTGTATACCAGGGCTGCATTATTTTAAAATGCATCTAGTTTTTATATCTGTATCTTCTTTGTATTCATACATTTTAAAATTTGATTTATTCCTGTTGTCGAAACTGAATTTTTAGTTTCAGTGATGACTCCAGTCTTCAATGTTAAATAAAGTTTTAGGAGCCATTCCAATATTAAAATCAATTTTAAAATATTTTTGTTTTCTTTAAAAATCGTATTGACTCTAAACTCTTGCTAATGCCAATGACACATGCTGCATATTTTATATGTTAATTACCCGTGTTAACATGACTGTGTGTCTATCTACCCTTGTGTTGCAGTAAACTGATGCTGAATCTGACTCTTCGTCTGCTGCTGCTGCTGTGTGTGGGGCTGCTGGCTTTCTGTCCGCTGCACATTTACAGAGTCACACATTTCCTGTCTGCAGCTCTGAGCCTTCTGGTCTGTTCTTGTTACTTTTGACCTCCCAGAACACTTTAAACGTGAGTCTGCTTTGAGATTAGAGCAAGACTCAGGGCTGAGTAGAAATCCAGACCAGATTAGACCAAAACAGCCTTAAAACCCAAGTGTGTGAGTTCTGTGCGATCCAACGGACATCAGTGGACCAGCACATCTGGATCATGTGACTTGTCGTTTGTCGTCATTTGTAGCTTCTTGACAGGGTATTACATTTGCTAACAGTCAGCGTGTGTGGATTCATGAGCAATACCTCTTGTTCACATGGTTTCTTAGACACATTTTAAGCACTAGCATGAACCAAGTTGTGTGTGTGTGTGTGCGTGCGTGCGTGCGTGCGTGCGTTGGGCGTGTGTCTGTGTGTGTGTGTGTGTGTGTGTGTCTGTGTGTGTGTGTCTGTGTGTGTGTGTCTGGCAGGGAAATGTATCTGTTTGCTTTATTAATATTTCCTTAAAGTCAACATGAACTAAAACAAACACAACTAAAACGATTGGTTTTATATACTTATTGGTTTTCATTTTTTATGAATCTCCCATATTCAGCATTATTGGATATTCAAATGTTTTGTTTTTACATTTATCATAATTTTTCATGCCTAAATTCTTTTGAAGCGTTTAAAATCGTTATGTACTACTTTAAAAAGATAGTTTACCCAGAAAAGAAAATCCTGCTTCATTTACTCACTCTCCACTTGTTACAAACCTTTTTTTTTTTTTTTTTTTTTTTTTTTTTTTGAGAGATGTTGCAAACCATTCGTCAGCGACGTTCATATATATATTTTTTTCTACTATGAATGTCAATGGCTTCTGGTTATAACCACTTTCATATTTGACAAAAAACAAACTCAAAAGGATTTGAGCTACTTGAAGATGAGTACATTTTCATGTTTGGGTGAGCCATCCCTTTCTTTTTTATATATTTATCAAGTAATGTTATATAAATTAATGTATTATCAGGCAAACAATTTATTATTAATTTATATAAGAAATTAAAAAGGTGACACATTAACAACAATTGAAAAAAAAGAAGAAATCTAGAAAAATGGATTACTGAGAGCATCTGCATTGTGTCCACTCTGAATCATTTCATGCATTGATTGAGGATGTGCCTGAAAGATTCATAGTACTCTAGTGAATGTCTTCAAAAATCACTTCCTTTCTTCATCTGCCTTAATTCTCAAACACTTTTAGCTAAAATACACAATTATGAAATAATGCTGTCATATAACACGTTAATTTGTTGGAAATCATGCTGTTAATTAAAGTCTCCACATCACTGGACTATTTTCAGCGAGTGAATATAATTACAATTTAGTTTCATGTCATACATCATTTAACCTCAAACCAGCCACAAATTACAGACTGCATTTTCATGTTGACTTTAAGATTGTGGAAGCAGTTTATTGTAATTTTGGCAGATTCTCATGTCTGTATGCGAGCGAGATTGAATCTCTCGGCCTGTTTTATCTTCAATCTGTCATTTCTGCCTTAAACCATTTAGCTTTGAATGCACATGTAATGCCTGTAGGTGCTGAAATAGTTCTCTGTTAGATCAGTTTCTACTAACACCCCTTTAGCATGAGCTGAAGCTGTTCGGCAAGTCGCGTAACATTCCTTCTGGTGGTGTTATTGTGAGTTTCACGAGCTGTGATCACAAAACGGGACCGACAAGCAATATGATTTTATATCAGCATCAATGTGCACAATTTGTGATGTAAAAAATGCATCACTGTTATATTTGTGGTTATAGTGCAGTCTTGAGACAAATTGTTAGAAACACTGCCAGTCACAGTAGCCATGAGATTGTTGCTGTCTCTACAGCTCTTTTTTATTTTTATTAATTGTATCGTGTGATGATTGCTGTTGATGGTCCATTTCACACTGTCCATCTGCTTCTCCTTTATTTGATTTGCTCATGACGGTTGAAAGTTTGATTCAAGATCTCATAGCTGAAAGTTAATTTATTCTGTCATCTCTAATCACAAAAGCGAGTGGTGCCTTTCTTGTAATATGCCCCTGCTTCTCTGATACCTATTTGCAGTTTAAAGTACTCTTATTATTTTTCTTTTTGAAGTACCCCTATTAGTACCCTCATGTTTTGGTCAGACCCAACTATGTTGACCAGTTAAAAAAAACAAACACTTTTATTGTCTAATGATATGAATTTAGGGCGTCACGGTGGCGCAGTGGGTAGCACGATCACGTCACAGCAAGAAGGTCGCTGGTTCGGGCCCCGGCTGGGTCAGTTGGCGTTTCTTTGTGGAGTTTGCATGTTCTCCCCCACAGTCCAAAGACATGCACTATAGGTGAATTGAATAAGCTAAATTGGCCGTAGTGTATGTGTGAATGGCTTTTTCCCTAGTATTGGGTTGCAGCTGGAAGGGCATCCGCTGTGTAAAACATATGCTGGATAAGTTGGCGGTTCATTCCGCTGTGTCAAGCCCTGATTTATAAAATAATGAAAAGAAAACAAATGAATGTATGTATACAAATTAATTTCTAGCTTATTTACTCATTAACTCGCAAATGAGCAAAACATTTTTTCAAACCTTGTCATTTTCTCTGAACAAGTGGCTCTTTGCGGAAAGCCCTTATATGGAGCTTGTTTGGAGCTTATGCATGTGGATGCTACTTTAGAAAAGAGCAGTGCACTCCACATTCACTAACTAAAGAATGAATGTAAGAACAAACTCATTTGCGTACACGTTTTGTGAATTATCTGAAAAGATTGTGAGAATTTCAGATATATGTATAAATAGGAAAAACAGATGCAGTTATTAGTGCATGAGACCCAATAACTTTTTACGTGGTGCACTTTCTGATCGAAAACTTTCGTGACTTTACACTTCACGAAAGATAACTTTTAAATATCCATAATAGGGGCACTTTAAAGGCTCTTTTTTTATGTTCTCCTATAGGTTTACTCTTGTCAAACATCAGACTACACTTTAATTTTCTCATAACATGCATAGCAACATTACTTCTCACAGTTTCTGAAACGGTTCATTTAAGGATTCACTCTTTAAACTCATGTATGAGAGCGTGCTCTGCTCTCGTTGGTCAGATGGACCGGTCTGTTGTCACGTGATTCGCCTATCATTTATATTGTGTCAGAAAACCAAACATCCATAGCTGTATCTGCTGTATTCAGCTTTGTATTTGTAAGCACAGTGGCATGAAGGGTAGCAATGGCATTGGTGATATGGTGTAAATCTTTATGGAACTGCAGGCTACATGACGCAAATGTGTCCACAATGCAAGACTAAACTCTTCCAGGCTGCAGCTAACTAGCAGGTCTGAGAGTCAAAGTAGATGTTGTTCAGTTGCCAATAAAGACCACAGGCTGTCTTCATGCAAATCTGTCATAAACCTAAATATGATTGTGCATGAAGTCAGGCTGGAGTTACTGATGGATCATTAGAGGAATCAATTCAAAATCAATTCTTTATTTTGTGAGCCAATTATTCCATTTGCTAAGCACTTTGTTTACTGCAGATGCTTTAAATTCACTTAAAGCTGCATTACATATTGCATGACAGATAATATCCGGAAAAGCATAATAGGGGCACTATAACCTTCGTGTGATTGAGGATGATGTTGAGGATGTTTGTCAGTCCATCCAAGTAATCTGACATTTAAATCAGATGTCTTTCTCTCAAAGGAGGTACTTGACCAAAAAGGAGAAAAAAACAAAACACATAGGACACAGAAGTGTGTCTTCATGCACTGTGAATGTACATGAGTGAGTGTGTATGTATGTGTGTGTGTGATGCATTTTGCAGTGAGCTTTGCTGTGAGTTGTTTTTTAATGGTGTGTTGCAATATTGCTCTGCCTCATGCTAAAATTAAGCAGTTTTGTTTGTGCTGAAAGTCTGCCTTTTTTCTATCCAATATGATTGTGAGCGATTGTTTTTATTGGTGTTCACTGTGATGTGCCACAATATTTTGAGGCCAGGATCGGATTTTATGTCTCGAAGCTAGAACTGCTAATTTTGGGCCAGATCTGTCCTGGTGGTGTAATGAGTTCAGTCAGCATCCGCATTGAAGCCAAACTCCACTAACGGCAACTGTTGAACTCTGCAACAATGACAGCAATGTTTGTAATGATGCTAATGCAGCTTCTGCTGTGGGACGTTTAACAAACAACTTGCTAGTTTAATAGAGACTGTTGTTCTAATTGAAAATAAAATAGCTCCTTTGTAGCAATTAAATATCCGTAATCAAAAACCTACAGGGATGTGGTTTGATAAATGCACTACCATTCAGAAGTTTGACGTCGGTTTAAGTTTGGTTAAGATTAATCGGAGGATTTCAATTTTTTAAAAAAATAAGCGATGTCTTTAAAAAAATCTTTCTGATGCCAAGTTTTGTATGGTAGTGTTTGACAACTATGGAAGCTTGTTTCCATAAAAATAACAATAAATGATACAAAAGCTGTATTGACTCAATTCAGACTTTCTTGACTTCTAATTGCAACTTTGTATTTCACAATTTTGACTTTGGCAGTTCTTTTCTGAGAGAGTAATATTATAACTGCGAAATATAAACTCAGAATTGTGAGGTAATCAGATTTGCAAGAAGAAACACTGGATTTGTAAGGAATAATATCTGTTTTTTTAAAGAAATCCAGAGTTTTATCTCAGAGTTTTGACATTTTTTCTCAGAATTGTGAGGTATAAACTGAGTTGTAGGAAAAAATATAATGTTTTGAGATTTTAGCTTGAACTTGTGTACAGAAAAAAGAATGTCAAAGAGATTTCTTTTCATTCTGTGATGGAAACAACCTTCCATTCTTGACAAATAGCATGCTATTTGCTATAGGCTACATGCATATGAAGTAATTAGATGTATTAACCGGTTTCGAATATGAAGGGATCTGGAACTGAAAACCTCAGTCGAAATGTTTTCGACCCTTAAAAAATACAATGTTAGCGAGGGGAACAAAAGCCTACAAACCTGCACATTCCTGACTCGTATTTCTTATGAAAGACACAAATCTTTGCGTGTGGTTTAGCTTCAAGATTAGCTGTGACTGTTCTGACCTTTTTTAAATTGGTGTATATATTGAATGCAGCTCACTGCCTCATGAACCTGATGCTGTTGTGCTTTAATAATATAGTTGCAGTGACTCGCTCATTACAGTGACTTGTCTGTTCTTTATGATGGAGAGGTATAAATCGGTATTGTAAGAAGTTGATATATACGCGTGTCATTTGAAAGCTCAGTAATAGGTATTTACATTTTTGTAATATTTTAAAAGCATTAATTAACAGTTTTACTGTAAATTGCTCACTAAAAAGGTATAATATTATACAATGTTTACTAAAAGTTGTAGAAGTTGATACAAGTGTTTGTAGTGCTGTTTTGCTTGGGTTGTGGTGCTTTTGTCATGAACGTATTTCACTCGTGTACAGTAATTGTAAACTGTAAGAGTGTTAATGAACGTTGTTATCTTTTTTTTTAAAGAAGCGCTCTCTGTTCGTGCATTCAGCACTTCTATCGGCAGTCGGATTGGTTTATCATGATTGGCTTGTATTTGTTTGGTCAAACTGCTGCGTCACTGTGATTGGTTGTGATCATTGTTTTCTTCAAATGGTGATTTAAGAAGACCGTGCTTAGCTTTTTTTTTCTTCTTTAATATACAGAATTGCTAGAAAGTGTTTAGAGATGTTGTTCTCCTGCCTACAAGGAACTCTCTACGCTTTGTATTTGGTGATTTTACAAGCTGAAAATTCTCAGGTTAAAAGATGTGTTGTGGAGTCGGTGGCTTCTAGTGTTCGTATATCTTAACATGCTATTTTATCAAAAAAAAAATTAAAAATGTGTGCAATTTTTCAGCACTACAGTTCCAATAAAATTGTTTACCGAGAGTTTGTTCTCAAGTTTATTGAATCTCTCTGACTGCCTGTCTGTTTTAGTTAATATTAAATATGAATAATATATATATTAAATGAGCAATATCACACAAGTAGCAGTGCGATATGGCTATATATCGGCACTGGTGGGAGACGCAGCCGAGTGACTTAGTGCCCGAACCAGTGCCAATGTACAGCCATATCGCACTGCTACGAATGTGATATTGCATTTATACAACAGTTTGATGGTATAATTGTGTATATAAAAACAAAATCGAACATGGAGAGTCTCAAAAACCCTTTTGTATGAGGAACTACTTTCTTCCACGTTGGATTCAAATCATAAGCTGACAGTTAAACAGCTGAGCGAGCATCTTTTAAACTTTAGATCTGTAGTGTCTGCTTTTTGCTGGCTGTATGTGGGCGGAGTAATACACAAAGGGTAAAAAGGCTGTAAGGGTGCTGATATTACTTAAATATATCACGGCTATCAGCCAATCAGATTCGAGAATCAGACAGATATATATATATATATATATATATATATATATATATATATATATATATATATATATATATATATATATATATATATATATATATTGGTTATTATTATATTTGTTATTATATTAATTTATTCAGTTTCGTATTGTATTACATTGTTTTGAGAGATTTCTGCTTTTAATAAAGATTATATTAGGTTATTTTTCTTTGTTCATTTAAATTTTTTCTCTTTTATTTTAATTATATAATTTTTTTTATTTTAATTTTTTATATTTGTCTTTACTGGTTATTTTTATATAGATTCTAATGTATTTTATTTAATGTTTCATTTTTTACTTATTTCATTTTGATTTTGATTTTCATCAATTTGTTTGCTTGTACAGTGCTCAGCATATAGGAGTACACTATTAGTAATATTACTAGTAATGTACTATAATGTAATATTACATCTGTGCATATACATTAGATTTGTCAGTAGTGAAGCCAAATCTGGAGCTTATCTAACAAAAAAACTTACGACAACGGTCCAAAAATTGGTACACCTAAATTTATATGTATAGAAAAATATTAAATACAAATTTAAAAAAGAGGAAATCATATGAAGCAAATCAAATGAAAAATTTAGTTGAAATTTTGTAGATTGTAATTTTTTTTTCAATATTTTGCTTGAATTTGATTGTATTATCTTTCAATTTCTAAATATGTTTGGTGACTAAAATATTATTTTAATAAATATATATTTTTAACCTGTTTTGTTTAAATGCACCAAAATCCATTGCCTATATTCACTGAGAAATGGATAAATATATTCATTTTTTTAAATGGGGTGTACTCAGTTATGCTGAGCACTGAATTAGCTTGAAAACCTCAAACCTCAGCCAGGATGTTCTTTTTAAAATGTGCGCTGTCGCTTTAATATGAGTGCTGTGTATGCAGTGCCTAGATACAATCCTTCAAACATATTGTCTGTGTAATTCCTGCTAATTAGTCACATTTAATAATATTTAGCATTTTTACGTCAGGCTAACAGATGGATGTCAGCCCTGCTGAGATTTGGCCGCTGCAGCTGCCAAACACCATTTGACTGGGTTTAGACCGAGACACTTTTTTCCCTCTCATCTGAGAAAACCGAAAGCTGTGAAGTCAAAACAGGGTCTTCTAATATCTGATGCGCTGTTAAAATTGCTTCACACAACGGTCCACCCAGCTCCATTCATTCATGCATGAATCATTTGGCCCATAGAGCTCATTTATAATCAGCGGTATTTACTCTCAGGACAGAATGAAAGTGAACACACTTGTCTGAAGTGATATCCAGTCTACGAGCGTTCAGAAGAAACCACACCATATGAATACAAATGCTGTCCTCAGACTATAGCACAGGCTGTAAGTCACGTACAGTCACATTACACACACGATTCTTCTACAATAGGATGGAAATGACTTATTTCATTTTCAAACATGACAGAGCATATTTTCAGGGTTTTGCTCAGCGTGTAACAATATAAACACCTTTAACCTCTTTTTACCTTAATATAAAAAAGTTAGTTACGTGTTCTTTGATCAATTTCTTTTATTTTTATATATTTTTTTTAGCTTGACAGTTTTAAAAGAATGAGCATGATATTCTTCTAACATTTGTTGAACAAAAAAGTACAGTTTATGAGTCTTCATGTGAATTGATAAATATATTCATTGTTAAATTTGTAATACTTTTACAATCCTAATAAAGAAAATGATCAAGGAAATTAATCTTTAGGTTGTTCATCCAAGTATGCTTTTGTTGAATCTGTTAATTCAACGACAACTTCACATTGAAACACTTGATCTTATACTCATGAAATCAAGTCTTCTAGAAACCACTTAATCACAAGATTATAACTGGAACAACAAGGAATGCATAATAAAGCAGCAATTACTGACAAATTAAAATAATAAAATGTAAAACTGCAATATAATATACAAATAACCAAATGTTCCAATGTCTTTTTGTCCACTGTTCATATACCCAGTCTAAAGTTTGTAACGTGGTTCTTAGCTGGCTGGTTTGATTCATGGCTTTCAACACTTTTTTCCAGAACACTTTTAAAGTTCCTTATGTAAAAAAACACTACTGTGAAATTGTGTGTGCATAAACTTTGTAACGACATTGTGTGTGACTCATCAAAAGGCTTGAATTAACTCCACAAAAAATACATCAAATAATCATTGGGAAATTTTGTGCAGTTTTGACCCATTTAATTGCCTATTATACAAAATTATGTGATGCCTTATGCAGCTTTACAGGAAAAAACAACAACATTTAAGTATTTAAAGGAAAGATTCTGGTTTTAGTGTCAAATTTTGTTAAAATATGCTGTGAAAATTACCTTATAGACATATTTTTTTATAATATATAAAATCTAAATTAGCAATTTGTGAGACAAATGTGGGAAAATTAATGTTTTGAGACAATGTACTGTATAAGACATTATATTTTACATAAACTAGTCTTAAATTATATTTTTGTTTCAAAACAAATTTGGAAAAGACATGGAAAACCCCATCTGTTGTGTTTAAATTGGGGTAAATTAATTAGTTAAACGCTTTAATGTGGCATTTAAATTTGTCTGTATTTTAGGAATTGGGGTTGAGAGCTCAGCATTTTTAAACTAAAGTAACATCACTCAACAAAGTGTTCTTCTCCCATGTATGTCTGCATCATCGACCCACACAGATGTGATGTGAAGTCGTTTGTAGGCTTCAGGCTGTTCTCTCTCTCAGTGAAAGAGCTGTTCGTGTGCAGGACAGATGTTTTCCCCATCAGTCGCCACCCTCACACTCCCTCCAGCGCTTATAACCGCTTTATAAGCACCGCTGCCTGCATGCGCTGCGGGGACTGACATGAAGACGGACCCAGCCGGGTGGTCACGTCCACAGGGAAACCGATCGCCGTTTTCTGCGTGAATCCTGAGCGGTGTTTCAGATCAGATCAGGTATTCAGCGGCACCAGACCACAAACATCCAGGATGTTGGTATAGCTCATCTGTGAACCTGTGCAGAAGAGGACTGGTCCCTCGGTCGTGATTTCAGCCACGGATGAAGAGGCCCTGAATGGACCGCTGCTGAGGAACGAGCAATAAAAACGGCATTATTAACGCGCGTTAATCGCCTCTGCGCCGCGGATTTGGTCGGTGATTCCACGAGCACATCACGTTGATGCGCAGGTACGCGGTTACACAATGTACTGTTTTGATGCATGCTGCATGTGTGCGGTGTTTTAACACCAAACATGTTTATGATTCAGCAGTTTTATTTGAGCCAATTACCGCATTTCCAGTTTTACTTTGGGAGACGCACTTTTTAGGTGCAGGATATTAGCGGGGCTGACTCAGAGCTTTAGAAACACACATGAGGGGTTTGCGATAATGCAGCACTGCTGATCATCTGCAGATCATGATGTATGAATACATGACGAAGGGAATTCCCTGCGTTATGCGATAGCGCTGCATGCGTGTCGTGAGAAGCGCGGTCACGCTCTGTGAAGTGTGTGTGTGCGCGCGCTGGGCTTCACCTGCACATTAAAATAAACGTTCGTGTGATGAATCTGCTGGATCGCGCCCAGTAGCAGAGAGAGAGAGAAAGAGAGGCGCCCGAGCTCATATGACGTAATTCACGCTTCTGCTGAGTAATAAAAAATACATCACGCATCATTTATTCATTTCGCCTATTTTTAAATTAGCTCATTATTTTCGTCAAATAAATGAATCTATAAATAACTGTTTGTTATATACACTGCAGATGAATAGGCTTAACATGCAAATTTGCATCCCTATAATTTCCCAGTTGATGGATAACATTAGGAATGTCAAGCATTTTTCAGTAGCCTATTACAAGTTTTCTAAAATGTTATATTTAAATATATGATAATTTGCACTAGCACACTGAACACTTTTTAAACTCCATAATTCAGGAAAAGTATATAGGCATAGGCTACTCATTTACTAAAGTTTGTTACATGCTGCTGAAGTAAAAATGTATAGCGCAACAATCACAAAATTGACAAGTGCAGGAAGAAGCAGTGTACAAATAAATGAATAAATACATGAACAGGACCTCTTAAACTGGCTGAAAGTTGCTGCATAATTGGCAAACTGATTTTGATATCCTTATTAGTGATGCTGCAGTACTCATTCTGTATTCATAATGCTGCATCACATTTTCATTTAGCTGGGAGATGGGTGAGATGTGAGGGGAAGTAGTGGGCAGAGGGGTTGTCTGCCTGTCAGATGAGGCAGAGGTTATGAGGAAACCCCTCCTATAGTCAAAAGACAAGTATTAATATAGAGCTTTATGCCATGCAGATTGTGTCAAAGCTATTTGAAATGGATGAATAAGAAAAGGATAAAACGTGAAATAACAATATTTCCGTTTGTAAACGTTCAGCATATGCAGTTAGCAGTGTTAGTTCATTGACGTATCTATAATTATGTTTTGCAAGAAAATACTTGGTAATAAATCCAACTTATTGA